GTTAGGACCCACACAGACCACAGGGTGAGCACCCCCTGCTGGCCCCACTAACACCTCTTCCAACAGCAACCTAGTTTTCTCTGGAGGTCTCCCATCCAGGTACTGACCAGGCTCAACCCTGCTTAGCTTCAGTTAATCTAAAGGTGTGTACTACAGGGTGATATGGCTGCTAAATCATTAGGCTTCGCTATTACGCCAGTAAAAGAGTGCGTACACACGGTCTAGAGCAGTGTTTCTCAACCAGCGGTCCGTGGACACGGCAAAAAATAAGGCCTATCTCCATTAAAATATACATTCTAAAATATATGTTTACTTTATAGGCAGAATTGCATATAATTTGAATAGCAATGTGATGTCTCAAAAAGCATTTAGAGTACGTATCTCATATTTTCCTAACGTATTGTACCCTTAACTGCGTTAAACACATACGCACAATCTTCCGCTGACTGGGTATTACAAAGGGAATTTTGAGCAGGTTCTGGCGTACACATGGCTTTATAAATCTGAAAACGTTTGTACGTACGCAAAATCCAGCTTTTAGGATTGAAACATTTAGGATGAAATCTAGGTAAAGTTTTATACATGAGGCCCCAGGTTCGACAATATCGTGTCTTTTTTTATTTAAATCTAGATTTATTCGCATTGGCCAAGCGACAACCTCCCGCTCTCTCTCGTGAAGCCAACGAGGAAGCGACTTAAACTGTAATTCATCAACTGGCCGCTAGAGGCTGGCTGCAAAAGGGAGTCAATCCCATAGACTCCCCATGTTAAAATGCCCAACTTTACAGCAGAAAAAAACGTTTACAGCCTGGTACAAAAAATGATTTTGGTCTATATAGCTAATTTTGCCCTTCATGACAACTGTGAGGGGGGTGAATTTTTTTTATAACTCATCCGTTTAAATTATATTAAGCCTTAAAGTTCTGCATAATTAAGGGCGTGGCCACTTGAGTGACAGGTGGATTGCCGCTGCTGTCACCACCGTCGAGCTAGGTGGGCGTGGCTTCAGCAACCTGCTCCCGCCTCTTTGCCCATTTTCGATTATCCGGGAGTGACGCGCTGCCAAGATGGCGACGGCCGCCTCCGCCCACTTTTGAGCTTCAAAAACGCTCTTC